CCTGCATGAGAATTGCCCCTATTCCAGTTTTAGAAGCATCAGTCTCCAACAAGAACTGCTGTTAAAATCTGGAATAGCCAACATTGGTGCAGTTATTAAAGCTTCCTTCAAAGACCCAAAAGCCAACTGAGCTTGTTCATTCCAATGAAACCCATTTTTCTTAAGTTGATCATTTAAGGGCCTGCTCAAGACTTCATATCCTTTGATAAACTTTCTGTAATAGCCTGTAAGACCCAAGAAACTCCTCAACTCCTTAGAATTTGCTTGAACAGGCCAACTGCTCACAACTGCCACCTTTTTAGGGTCAGTTTCTACTCCCCTCTCAGTGATAAAATGCCCCAAATACTCAACTCTATGTGTAGCAAAGATGCACTTACTTTCCTTGGAAAACATAGAATTATGCTTCATTAATTGAAAAACTTCAGATAAATGCTTCCAGTGATCTTACAAGGGCTTACTGTAAACCAAAATGTCATCAAAGAAGACTAAAACACATTTCCTGAAAAGAGGCCTGAAAACATGATTCATCCACCCTTGAAATGAAGTAGGAGCATTAGTTAACCCAAAAGGCATCACCAAGAATTCATAATGACCAGTATGAGTCTTGAATGTTGTCTTCAAAACATCAGATTCACTCACTCTCATCTGATATCAAGTTTACTGAAGATAATAGCTCTAGCCAATTCATCAATCAATTCATCAATTACTGGAATAGGAAACTTATTCTTCACTGTTCAGTTGTTTAGTTCCCTGTAGTCTACACATAACCTCCATGTACCATCCTTCTTTCCCACAAGGACAACAATAGAAGCAAAAGGGCTAGAGTTTGTCTACATAATCCCTCTATCCAGCATCTCTTTCACAAGCTGTTCAATAATATCCATTTGCTTTAATTGATATCTATATGGTCTAATATTTGCTGGAGACTCCCAGGCATGAGAGGAATGGATGGTCAAATACTCCCCTGCTTGGAGGTGATTCAGTAGGTTCAGCAAAACCATAGCATATTGCTGCTTTAAAATACTGAATTCAGAACAATCCACTGCAGAACACACTTAAACCCCCTCATCCAACACAGAACAAGGCTCAGAAACATGCATCAAACATAGTTGGAATGCAGAGTTCCTGAACTTAGACCCAGAGTTCCCCTCCACCACAGAAAGATTCTTAGATGGCAATCCTTTAAGCTCCACATGGCCACCCTTAATATCAAACTCCATCTTCAACTTTTGAAAATCCCAATGTATAGGACCTAGAAATTTAAGCCATTGGATTCCCAACACCATATCACAACTGCCTAAAGGAATAAGTAACACATCAGCATCAAACTTATGGCCTTGCATCATCCAAGAAAACCCTTTGCACATATGTGTACAAGGTATATGATTGCCATCAGCCACAGAAACAGATTGAAAAGGAATTTGTTCCAAGCTACAACCCAACTTGGTAACCATATTCACGTCAACAAAGTTGTGTGTGCAACCTGAATCTATAAGGATATGCAAGTCTTTGCCACCTACCATCCCGTTAACTCTCATAGTCTGGAATGACTGATTTCCAGCCAAAGCATTGACAGAATTATGAGGTTATGATTCACTGTCAGACTCCAACTCCACCTCAACCTCATTTAAAGGTACACTATAATAGGAATTTCTAATGTAAAAAGTTGTGGTTCCTTGAAAGCACACTTATGCTCCCTATTATAAGGCTCATCACAATAATAACAAAGTCCTTTAGCAATCTTCTCTTGCCTAACATCAGCAGGAATGTGTTTAAAAGGTTTTGAGGGTGGTTTGTGTTTAGAGGTGTTTGAAGTGGACTGAGGTGTAGGTAATATAGGTGGTTTAGTATTGGCTAAGGGAACAAAGGACTGTGCTGCCTTACTACTAGCAAAAGAATACTTATACTGCTTAAAAACCTGAGCTGAAGAACTCAAGGATTCCTACTGCAACCTAGCAAAATCAATAGCAAAAGCTATAGTTGTAGGTTTAAAAGGTTTGACAAAAGGTTTGACTGTGGGTTTAAGGCCTCCTATAAAGCTATCTAAAATATAGGAATCAGGAAGAACATGATTATTCATCAACATAACAAATCTAAGGTTCACAAAATCATCAATATATTCTTCAATCGAACCAGATTGCTGCAGCCTATTAAATTGTTCCACAACATCCAATGCAGAATTATTTCTAAATCTTGCATACAAATCAACAACAAAATCATTCCAATCAACTAAGACAGATCTTTTAACAGAAAGATAGTTCATCATCCAACTCTCTGCCTTATTAATCATATTCAAAGAAGCTAAATCAACTTTGTGTTCATCAGCTATTTTGCATAAACTGAAGTATTTACCACATTTCTTGACCCAAATTCGAGGATTACTTCCATTGAACTTAAGAAATTCAAGTTTAGGATTCATACCTAAGGCCCTAGTTAAATTGGACCTGCCAAAGCTGTCGTTCGAAGAAGATGAAGGAGAAGAAGGCTCTGACGAAGAAGAAGCAACATTAACCTTCTCAGCATGAATTAATTGCATCAGCTTCAACATTTCCTCGAATTTTTGCTCGATTTTGGAGTTTTGATTATCCAATCGCTTCTCCAAGTTTTTGAGCTGAGCTTCCATGGCACCAACTCTCCTTGTAACAAGCGGAGGCACCAGAATCACTTATTGAAGAAAACAGTAAGGAAGGCTCTGATACCATTGATAAGGGAGTAGCTCGAAGCTTCTCCAATGGCGGACAAACCCAGATTTGTAGAGAGAGAAAGATAGAAGAAAGGAAGTTTAGAGAGAGAAGTTGTAGGCAGATATTTCATTAGTTGTAAATAAAGTTTGTTACAAGTAGTTATACCAGTGACTATGACATCATTACCCTCTAACTCTCTATTACAGCCAAAATGCCAGCTAAAAATCACTAACAATTGGAAATAAGGAAAATTTACCAACAAACTAACCTTTGTCTCATTCTCTAAAAATGAACCAACCTTTAAATCTTCCCAAAGTAGACAGAAATTTACATTTTTTCTCCCAAAATGAACCAAGTAGGTCACCCTACCTATTACACCAGGTAAAAAACCACTTGTCATAATATCATTGGTCAACTTTTTTTTTATTTTAATTTTTGCTAATTTTTACAAAAAAAAAAAGAAAAAAAAAAACCAAATTCATCCTTTCCCACTGTCAGTCCCACTCCCAACCAGCCACCCTCTTAACCTTCACCACCATCACTTCCACCCCTCTACACCACGTCACCACCACCTATGTACAATACCAACAACAGCCACCATAGAAACCACCAAACCACCGAAATCACCATACCAACCACCAAATCACCATACCAACCAACGAAACCACTAAACCAACCCATCTGAAACCACCAACCAACCCACCAAAAATATCGAAACCACCATACCAACCCAGTAAAAACACATAACCCACCATACCAACCCACTGAAAACACCATACAAACCACCAAAACCACCATACCAACCCACCCCACGAACACCAAGATCAAAAAATCCACCACCCGAAACCTTCCATAACCATCCTCTCACCACCACCAAAATCCAAACCCATCCCACCGACACCCTTAATTTTCCAATCTTCCAATTCTTCTTTCTTTTTACCATCAATTTTTCACTTTAATTTGTTCGATTTAGGGATTGTTGGTTTGGGGGTTTCATGGGGAGCGGGGTATAGTCGAAAAATGTAGTGGAAAGGGGAGAGGGAGTGGTGGCTAGAAAGGGGATGGTCGGAATTGGGAGGTAAAGCCGTGAAGGGGGAGGGGAGAGGTGGCCAAAAAGGTGGAGGAGAGGTGGCTGGCTGTGAGGAGAGAGTGGTCTCTGTTTTTTTTTTTTTAATTATTTTGTTACTATGTAAAAAATAATTAAAGGTTTTCAATTAAAAAAAAAAGATAATTAAAGGGAAATTATAAATATGACCGGTTGTATAGGTTACTGGTCATTTAGGGTTCATTTTGGGAGAAAAAATGCAAACTTCTGTCTATTTTGGGAAGATTTAAAGGTTGGTCCATTATGAGAGAATGGGGCAAAGATTGGTTTTTTGTTGTTAAATTTTCCTAGAAATAACAGAAATATAACTAACTCATTTCTACCATATTTGGTTTGGCGTGTTTTGTTGTTTGTGTTGAGTTGCCGCAAATCCTTGAATGTTAGTATTAAACTTCGAAGTTGTACGAATCTTGTGCGGGTATGTTGTTTTTTTTTTTTTAATTTTTCTTGCTTGTACGCACCACTTCCCACCAAAGACGGAGAAATGACACCACCACCGCCTCCTCCACCGCCAGTAACGGAATATCGGGTAGCTTTTTTTTTGTTAGTAATATCAAGAATGCGATTTCGTTAATCCTCCATTGGGAAAAGGTGCAATATTCGAATTGGGTTGAGCTCTTTGAAGTTCACTGCCATGCATTCAATGTCTTAGACCACATTGACCCGTCAATTTCCTGTCCCACTGACATTTCCAATTCCTTGTGGTTACGCCTTGACTCCATAGTCAAGCAATGGATTTATGGAACTATATCTACAGATCTTTTAACTACGATCCTTTGCAAGGGTGATCCCGAACTTCAAATTTGTACTAAATGGAAAGATTTGTTTCAACAATCACAAACTGCCGCATCAAATCAAGCCCAAACACCGTCCCCACAGCAGCGCCAGCAAGCCCTCCAAAGCAACATGTCTAAGATCCACCACTATTCTCCGAAATCAAAAGGCAAAGCAATGGCTCACAATCAGATCAAGAAGAGAGTGAGTGTCCTTGACTACATTTATTACTACTACATACCTTCAAGTTGGAGGTAGTGCATGACTTCTTTTTTTAATTTTTTAACCAACTTCCTATCAATTCCTAGGAATCAAACAAGCACTTGATTCTTTAGGAACAAAGATATTCCCAATTCTTGAGCGAAACTTACTGCCTAGGATCACATTTGAATTTGTAAACCAAGATTCATACCCAGCAGAAATTATCCTGCTCAACATTTGTACCACAACTACACCAGGAAGATTTATTAGGAGGCAAGAAGCCGGAAAGTTTGTGCAAAGCTAAAAAGCCATATAACTACTTTATGATTTTAAAGGTAAGTTGCATGATGCCGATTCCACATCAAAAAATTCAGTAAATTTTTCCAGACCGCAGAAAAGTGAATATTATCCGAGATGAACAAATGCCTCAAATTTTGTAAATATTATTTGCAGAATGAATAAATTCCTTGATAGTTGCCTATTTCTTGTACTGCTTTATCTCTTTAATCATACCCTTGGTAAGTCCATCAACATCATTATTCTTTCCAAAGAATTTCACAAACTTCATGTCTGGGCTCATCAAGTACCTGTAAAATACAACAATGCCTTAATAGCTTATAGCAACAACGAAAATCAAGATTGATGTAAATCATATAACAGCATTCCTACCATTTTCATTCAATTAGATTGCAATTTATGAACAAGCACTTGAAGAAGAATTAGGCATAATGGTAATTGAAATTTACTTTGTGATACGCTTAATACTGTAATATTTCGTCACTGAGACATGTTGCTACCAAGGCAACTACCATTCAGACTAGCCAATTCCAGTTTAATTGTGATTTATCTTGGTTCGAGCCCAACAGCTCCAGCTCAAATTTATAGAAGCTATTCGTAATTCGTGAGACGAGCTTAAACAACAAATACCTAAACCAGCCAAGCTCGAATAGACAAATTGAAAGCTCAATTGAGCTCGGCTAGGATCCTTGACATCCCTAAATATAAACATGAGTGTAAAATTGGGAAATGCCCCCTTAATCCTATGATGAATCAATCAAAAAGAAGAAAAGTGAGCCTAGACTCTAGAGAGATGCATTAAAGCAAGGAAGTAATACATACATGACTATAGAGTGGTCAACAAGATAATCTGAGCCTTCCTCTGTTGTCTTCATGTAATATACTCTGTATGCACGAGCAACTTTCCGAATCTCTTCTGGATCACCAGTTAATCCAATCAATTTTGGGTGGAACTCTGCAATTAATCCAGGTGAAACAAAAAAAAAAAAAAAGAAATGAGACAAGGTACTACCCTGCGTGTATGTTTTAATAAGCAATAACGATTTCCATACTTAGAACAATGAGAAGGTGGGGTGAGCAACACAGAAATCAGGGCCATCAACAACAACAGTAAACTTTGCACCTCATGCTATTGCAAATGCATAATATTATCTCTGAAATCAAGAAGACCTTGAGAATTTATTTTTTCATTCCCTTAAAAAAGACATGCCCAGAAAATGATACGAAGTAGAATATTTTGATCTGTACCTTTCACATACTCACTGACTTGTTCAACAGTGTCTCTTTCAGGATCAACAGAGATGAAAACTGGCACAATCTCAATTCCTGATTTTTCTTCTGCACAAGAACAAGAAATGTTGGCACAAAATCACAAACAAACTCAATTCGTGGTCTAAGCATATACAGGAAAACACCATGGCTCCCTTGGTCTCAATTTATTTGCTCCATGAGAAAATGGGCATTTTTAAGAACAGTTAAAAAGGATGAGTGAGTTTGAGGAACCAAAATTTAAATGTAAAAAGAAAAACTCACCATAAAACTAATGGAGAAAATGATAAAATATATATATATAGGCATTTAAACAAGAAGTTGGGGCAAGTAATTAGAGATGGAGGGACTATATCCTGAATAAAGTAACATATTATATTGAAGATTCCCATTATGAGATTTCCCCATTTCTGGATAGCCACTTAAATAGAAACACAGAGAGTTTACAATACTAGCACAGAACCAAGAAGATCATCCCTTTTCACCAACGCCCCACAAATAAAAAATAAAACGGAGGAAGAATGGTCCAGGCATGGGGAAAACCTGTTTTTGTCAATTGTAAATATAAAATTGAAACAATAAACACTGCATATATACCATGTAATTCTTTCATGTAAGCTAACTGCTAAGCATGATAAATACTACCAATTCCAAGCATTCTTTTACCTAACATGTACTGATAGCAACTAATAGCAATATTATCAAACAGTAGCTCAAGGTAAAAGGCAGCAGCACTTCTATTGCATTAATATCAGTTGCAATTTCATCAGAAAAGCAATCATGCACAATATAGTTAAACTAGTTCAACAAAACTGCAGCAACTTACTTATCTTATCAACAGCAGAAGCTAGTTTTTGGAGCTCATCGGGGCAAATATCTGGGCAATGAGTAAAGCCAAAATACAACACTGTCCATTTACCAAGAAAATCTCTTTCAGTCACCTTTTTCCCTTCATGATTGACAAGGTTGAATGGGCCCCCAATAGCTGCCTGTCCCACAGATGGTCCCTGTCTCACCGCATTTGATGCATTGCTTATTTCTGCAGGCAGGTCAAAACAGGAATATCATTGATTTGAATATTGTTAAAGAAGTGAAAGATAGGCTGAAGACATTGGCCAGTTTTCTAAGGAAGGAAAGAAAGAAATTTTCAGTCTTTTACACAACTAGGCAAAAAAATCAAAACAAATCTATTTCCGTTAGAAAAGCAAGGTGTATTTAGGTGTATACCTTCAGCATAGCAACTCAAACCACACTTACTGATGGGTTGTTTAAAACAGCCTTGAGAAAATTTGATAAACTTAATACACACTTAAAAAATAACATTTCGCATTTAGTATGAATTCAAATTAGTATCTAGGGCAGCACAGTCAGATAAATCATATCAAAGCAGATGGGCTCTGCCGGTCTAACTGAACATGTCAACTGTACACAGCCTTAAACCTACAATTTAAAAAATAATATTCCTACAACTTGAATTGAAGGCCTCTGAAGTCAAGGTCAAAAGAGAACATCCATTTCATATTTTCATTGTAGTGTAAATGAGTAGTTTCATTATATTAAGCATAGCAGGCCTTCTATCTGGCAAACGTCTTGAAATAACTCCAAAAATGCATGATAAGACACTCTTAATATAATCCTGGTAGACCGATCCTTGCACAAATGATTTTATAGGTAACAAATAAAACTATAGACAAAGCTAGACCTATTTGATATCATTGATATGAACTCTGAAAATAAGAAACTCCATTTGACCTACACTTTAGAATTATCTCTGTCTCAATCTGAAAGCTCCACACTTCACTATCTTAATCATGCCAAATTACTCATTCAAAGCTCAAACACTCACCCCAAGAGTATTATAGTCACATTCCACTTCTAAAAGCTAGACCAAACACTCATATAAAAACTCACCATAGTAGTCTACCTTCAATATGCCGCTTCTTTTCATTGTCATAGTAGTAAACGATCCCAGCTCCCGTAATAAGTAACAAAAACAAGCTCATCCATGAAACAGGCTGCACATAACCAACATAACAGCCATCCATCAGTAATCAGGAATGACCAGATAATTAAGCAACGGTTACTCTACATGGAATTCTAAAACAAAATATAGCCCATAGAATATGCTTACATGTCCTGATACGGTGATACCCATACAAAACAGCTGAAAATTGAAATCAGTTTTCAAGCATAATACTGGAAAACTCGGTAAGTACTTCGTGTTAATTATTAATCGCTCCATCCAAAAATAACTTCACACTTCCTTATCACCGTCTTTAAAACCAATCTTTCACTAATATAATCTTTAATAACATACTTATAAAACACTCGTTGACATTAAAATAAATCTGATAACCTCCTTCATGAACTCAGATCTTGAGCAATGATAATTTCTGATTTGATGAGTTTTTAAAACTCAAATTCATAACCAAATGTCTAGGATAAATCGAAGTTCATATTTACTCTCATTTTAAAATCAAGGCAAAAACTAGCAAATCTATTTGATTGGCTAGAATTATGTAGCATCAATACCCTCAAAATTTATGAAAATTCGCGAACATTCTAACCGGAATTAATCATCCGAAATTAATATAAGATTAAACGCAAACAATACAAGCAATTGAATTTCACATTATCAGAAGAATTTCCAGATCACTAAAAACACAATCAAATGAAATAACGAATCGAAATTACCGATCCTCGAACAGATTTTCCAGCATCACCAGATTGTTGTGAACCTTGAGAGTTACCTCCATCATTCGATTTATCACCATTTGAATTCTTCACTTCGGAGTTCTTCGCAGCAGCAGCAGAAGAAGAAGAGCCACCACTTGGTGAAGACGACGAAGAAGCAGTGCAGAAAAATCTTTCATAGAATCCGAAAGTATTGAATTTCTGATCTCGAACCTACACAAATACAATCAAAATTAATACGAAAAATTGAATTTGGAAATCCAAAATTAAGAAATGATGGAAATGTAAGAAGAGAGAGAACCGAGTTGAGAAATGGAAGAGAGCGGCCGGAGAGAGAAGGAAGAAGATGAGATGGATGTGCAGGAGACGTAGTAGTGAAGGACCGCCATTGATGAAGACTGAAGCGAAGGAGAGTTCGAGAAGAGTTTCTGGAAAGAGCAGCCATTAGAGCGATGTGTTAAACCCCTTCACCACTTTTCTTCTTCTAATAATCTCGTATGAGGGTTTTAGATTGTACACCGTATGTATTTCACCATTCATAAATCATAATACAAGGCATTTTGTAAGAAATACGAAGTACCCTGCTTTTTTTTTTTTTGGGTGTAAATATAAGAAATCAAACACAAAATATAGTGGATAGAATAGTAATAGTACTCCGTATGCATTTCACAGTAAAAGTTGGTCTAATAATCTCAACTTTGGTATAATGTTTTAAATAATCTCAACTTTTGATATTCTAAAGTAATCTTAACTAGATGGAGCCCGTGCAATGCACGGTTTGTTTGAATTATTTAAAACATTTTTTTAATTTATGTGTTAAAATTTATTACATATTTAGATAATATTTCTAATATCAAAAGATAATATTTTACATTTAATTAGTTTAAAGTTAAAAATTTCATTCGCCAATTTTGCTTACGTGACATTTGAATTATTCAATTTTAAAAGAAAATAAAAATCTCTTATTTGATTGAATACAACTAAAATTTAAAATCTTACATGGCGCGCTAAAAAAATTAAATCCTACTTGGCTCTCTAAAAACTCGGGAAAAAAATCCCCTTTATATATATATATATATATATATATATATATTAGATTTTAAAGTGTGTTTTCTTCTAATAATTTCAACAACCTATTATATCATGTAAAAGACAAAAAAGAAAAAAGATAAAAACAAAGGAAGGAACTACAAAACAAGTCATAGAGGAACTTGAAAAAAAAATGGAAAAAACTCTCTCTGCGAAAAAATCCTCTGATATGAAAAATGGATCTCACTCCATTGAGGAGAGGGACCAACTGGTTCGTTCAAACAAGAAACCAAAAAGAAAATCGCACAATTCATCTTTGGCTCACCACCGGAAAAGGATGAGGAGATGATTGAAGCGGATACAGAGATACAAATAAATGCTAAGGCTAATCCTTTGACAAAGCAGCCAGAGAATATCAATAATGGTGGTTCCTTGTCATTTCGAGAGATACTTAGGGGGGAATCTGACAAACTTAGGCGGGAATCTGACAAATCCTTGGCCAATTCGTTGAATGTTATGAATATTGAGGATGAAATTGATGAAGTTTCGGATGATGAGGAAATTGATGAAGTTTCGGATGATGAGGAAATTCTGAACGATGATAGGTGCCCTGTCATTCGTCTATCCAAGGAGGAAAAAACCATGCTTCGCCAACCTTGGAAAACTTCTTTAATTATCAAACTCTTCAGTGGCAGGATTGGCTATATGGGTTTGATGAGGAGACTCAAGAAAAAGTGGAACATCAAGGGAGAACTGGCTCTTACTGACATTGGTTGCAATTACTATATTGCAAGGTTTTCAAACAAAGATGATTACAACTATGTGTTAACTCAAGGGCCATGGTTATTAGATGATAATTACCTCACAATTCGTAAATGGGTTCCTAATTTCATCCCTGATGAAACTCCTATTAGGCTCTTAACGGCCTGGGTTCGTATCCCTAATCTACCAGTTGAATATTTTGATATTAGCTTCCTCAATAAAATTGGGTCCAAGATTGGGAAAGTCCTAAGAGTAGACAAGACTACTGCTCAAGCAGAGAGGGGGCAATTCACCAGAATCAGTGTGGAAATAGACCTTTCAAAACCATTACTGTCAAAATTTTGGTTGAAAGGAAGAATCTGGAGGGTGCAATATGAAGGGATACGTATGATATGCTTCAAGTGTGGGAAATTAGGCCATTCTGAAGATGGTTGTCCATCTTTGCAGCCTGAGAATGCTGAGAGTGCTATGGTTATCCACGATAACCCTTTACATAATCACAACCCTAGACCAGAAGAAGCTGAAGAAACCAACCCGAAATAAGAACCCAAAACCGGATAAAAACCCGAATGGAGGTGGTCAACCAAATCCGGGTAGAGGTCAGATTATGGAAAGAAATAAAAATTCTGTTCCTGAAAAGAATAAGTCCAATCTTGGTGTTACTGGAAATCAGGGATTTGGGTCGAGATTTGCTACTTTGATGGATCAAGAAGGGGTAGAAGTTGAGGATTTAGGGGAGGATAAAATGGAAAATAAAGATTTGAATGAGATTGATCAAGATAATGATGGAAATATTTTTGAGACTATTAACCTCAGTGAAAAATCTCAAAATATTTTGGCAGGAAAAGATTTTATTCCTACATTCAAGCTCAATAATATCCCCACAAATTTGAACCAAGCAAGAGTTAAGAAAGTCCCTAACAAAGTCTATCAAGAAAAAAAAGAAAAATCTATCTTCCAAGAATAATAGCTATCCACTTAAGGAAGTTAATGATATTCAGAATATCAGTTCAAGTCAAAGTACTAGGCCTATCTTTGAGGGTAAAGAGAATGTAGGACACCCTACAGAAACCAGAACATTTGATCTATCTCGAGCAAACACTCAGGAAAAACCAAGCAATAACATAGCCACACAAAAGAAAACTCAAGCAGTGCCAGAGCCAGAGCAAGCCATCACTCGTGTCTCAAGTACTCTCCCCGTTAACTCTCAGGTTACCTACAGACAAGACCATGTGTGTAGGACACCCGATGGAAGTGCCTTATTTGGTAATCCTAAACCCCCTGATGCATGTGATAGAGGTGAACCTAGACTCGATGCTACCACCAGTGACGACTCCTCTGGAACTGGTGGCAACAATGCAAATCCCCATTGAATTTAAGAGACTGCTTAGATTCATTATTGAAGCCTATCTGTCATCACTACCTTCAATCCCAGTTTCTATGGAAGATACAATCCCAAATTTAGCCCCGGACTCTCTACCTATTACTTGTATGATATGGAATGTACAAGGTGCAGGTAGTAAACACTTTATTTCAAATTTGAAGGATTTGGTTAAAATTAATAAACCAAATGTTCTTGCTCTTGTTGAAACTCACATGGGAGGAGAACAAGCTGTGAAGATTGGCTCAATCCTAGGGTATGATGGCCATGTGCGAACTGATGCTATTGGATTTAGTGGGGGAATATGGATATATTGGAAGACGGAAGTTGTTACAATAAGCCCCATCATTAAACACAATCAGCACATCTCTATGGAAATAACTCGAATTGGAGAAATTCCTTGGTACTTTACTGCTGTTTATGCGAGTCCAGACCCATCAAAGAGAAGAGAATTATGGAGTGAATTGGAACAATTTGCACAAAGTCATGGGAAACCATGGCTTTTGGCGGGAGACTTCAATGAAACTCGCTTTCTATCAGAGAGAAATTCATCATGCAATGAAACAAATCGAAGGTCAGCAATGTTCAATGATTGGATTGAGGGAATGGATTTACTTGAAGTTGAGTTTTCGGGTGCTGCACATACATGGGCAAGAGGCAAAACCCCATAAACCAGACAGAATGGTCTATTAGACAGAGCTTTATGCAATGATCAATGGGCCTTGAGGTTTGACAAAGCCTCAATGAGGCATCTCACAACAACAACTTCTGATCATTGTCCCTTGTTTATATCCCCGAATGGCTTTATCCCCATGGAAACTATTCACAGACCTTTCAGATTCCAGGCTGCCTGGATGCAACACGGGAATTTCTATGAATTTGTTGAGCAACATTGGTGTAAAAACAGGCCCCTAGTACCTGCTCTGGCTCAACTCTCAACTGAGTTACAAACCTGGAATCGAGAAACCTTTGGAAACATTTTCAAGCAAAAACGCATCATGCTTGCGCGTATTGGGGGTATTCAGAAATCTTTGGCAAAGAAGGTGGATAGAGGTCTCCTAAAGCTTGAAACCAAACTCAGAAAAGAATTGGAGGAAATATTAGAGCAAGAAGAGACTTTATGGTACCAAAAATCTCTTATTTCTTGGTTGAAAGATGGGGATAGAAACACTACTTTTTTTCATCTAAGTACAATAGTAAGAAGGTGGAAAAATAAAGTCACAGCCTTGAAAAACAAAGATGGGAACTGGACTCAAGACAAACTGGAAATTCAGAATACAATTGTTGAGTACTTTTCCAATTTGTTTACAGAGGAAGGAGAGCATAATTTGAGAGATATTCCTCAAGACATATTTCCCGAACTTTCGAACTCTGATTGGGGAATGCTAACAAGGTATTATTCGAAGTATGAGATTGATGAAGTTATCAAGGATATGGGAGCTCTCAAAGCACCAGGATAGTTTTCAAGTCCTCTTTTATCAAAAAAATTGGGAGTTGGTTTCTGGGAATGTTTATGAAGCGATTCTGCCAATTTTACAGGGGAAGAAATCAGCCAAAGAGTTGAATAACACTTACCTTGCGCTTATCCCAAAAGTTGAACATCCAGAATTAGCCTCTCAATTTCGCCCAATTGGATTATGCAATGTTGCATACAAAATAATCACAAAAGTGATTATCAACCGTATCAAGCCTGTGCTTCCCCATCTCATCTCGAACACTCAGTCAAGCTTTGTTCCCGGGAGACAAATCACTGATAATATAGTGATTATGCAAGAAGTTTTGCACACTATGAAAAAGAAGCAGGGGGCTACGGGATACATGACGATTAAAATCGACTTTGAGAAAGCTTACGATAGGCTTCGATGGGACTTTATTCGAGATACCCTCTTGCAAATGAATATTCCAATCAATTTGATAGAGGTCATTATGGATTGCATATCGACTGCTTCTCTGCAAATTCTTTGGAATGGGGAGCCGTCCAAATCCTTTACCCCAAGCCGAGGAATCCGCCAAGGAGATCCACTCTCTTCGTATTTATTTGTGATGTGTATGGAACGCTTCTATCAAGTGATTGAAGAAGCTATCATCAATGGGAGTTGGAAAACAATCCGTGCAAGTAAGGATGGTCCAGAGTTGTCGAACCTTTTCTTTGCGGATGACATTGTCCTCTTTGCAGAATCAAATGTGGAGCAAGCTACTGTTATTCGTTCTTGCTTGAACCGGTTTTGTAACGCTTCGGGACAGAAAGTTAGCCTCCCGAAATCAAGAATATTTTTCTCGAAAAATGTTGATTTGGATAAACAGATGGAAATAAGTACAGAGCTTGGTATGGAGAGTACTTCGGATTTGGGCATGTACTTGGAAATGCCTACTCTCACAAGTAGGGTCACTAAGGAAACTTTTAGCCATTTGTGTGAGAAAATTGATAGGCGGTTAGCGGGTTGGAAAACAAAATACCTCTCGTTAGCAGGGCGCATCACATTAGCAAAATCAACTTTGTCGACCTTGTCCTTTTACTCAATGCAGACGGCTAAAATCCCTAGAACAATTTGTGAAGATATTGACAAAAAAACGAGGAGATTTGTTTGGGGTGGAAATGAAGAGAAAAAGAGGATTCATCTGCTTTCTTGGGAATGTTTGCAAAGACCTAAGGAATATGGTGGTATTGGGATATGCTCGGCCAAACAAGCCAACTCAGCCTTCCTTACCAAATTGTGTTGGAGGATGCTTAGTGAACCACACTCTCTTTGGGCTAGAGTGTTGAGAGCTAAGTATTGTAAGGGGAGGTGTGATGTAGATATGTTCACTCCAAAGCTAGGCATGTCTAATGTTTGGAGTGGTATAACGGAGAATGCAAAAGTGCTAGGGGAAGGAGTGAAAGTTGCAATTGGTAATGGTAATCGTACATTATTTTGGGATCACAAATGGGCTACGGATAAGCCTTTGAGTGATTTAGCAACTCAACCCATTCCCATGGAAATTGAAGGAGCTACGGTTGAAGAAATGTGGGAGGAAGGCCAAGGGTGGAGGTGGAATATTTTCTCTCCATATCTACCACAAGAGGCGCTTAAACACATTCAAAATCATGAAGTACGTGCAGACCCCTCACTTTGTGATCTGGTGTACTGGAAAGGAGATGCTCAAGGGAAACTCACAATTAAATCCGTAATGAGCATTATGAGACACAACACAGATGTTCTTGACGAAAAGTGTTAGAATCTGAAATGGAAGGCTCCCACTCAACAAAGAATCAGGGCTTTTCTTTGGCTAACTTGCCATGATCGTATTCTAGGTAACTTGAACTTATTTAAGCGCAAATTAACTGACAGCCCCTCTTGTCACATTTGTGGTAATGGAGATGAAAATGCTTTGCATATACTCAGAGATTGTCCAAATTCTCGCTTAGTTTGGAATAAGATCTTACACCCAAGGTTCCACACCCAATTTTTTCATCTGACTTTGAAAGATTGGATAAGCTATAATCTACAGGATACTAGCAGTATTAATATTGAAGGATGGGATACGATGTTCTGCATCTCTGTTTGGTGGATATGGAGATGGAGAAACTGCAGAGTATTCAATAGAAGAGATGAGATCCCAACCGACCTTGGAGCCTTCTTGAGGGTGCGATTTAGAGAAGCTCAGGACAGCATGAAGAAGACAGTGGCTGGAGCTGCAAACACAAGCAATCAGAAAGTGGAAAAAAAAATTTTACTTGGCATTCCCCATCAATAGGGTGGTTTGTTCTTAACTGTGATGGTGCAGCCAAGGGCTGCCCTGGTCCTGCAGGAGGAGGAGCTATTATCCGTGACTATACAGGGCAATTCATTGCTGGTTTCTCAGCAAATTTTGGCTATTGTAATGCTTTTAGAGCTGAGGTAATGTCCCTTGTTCGAGGTCTTGAGCTGGCAAAAAACTTATGCATCAGGCAACTAGAAGTGCACTTAGATAACCAAGCTTGTGTTAAGATATTACAGAACAAGACAAGAGGTAATGGGGAATGTGTTTATGACATTAACCAATGCCTTAAGCTGCTTTGTGATACTGAATGGGAAGTAAAGATCGTGCATATGTATAGGGAAGGAAATCGAGCGGCGGATTGGTTGGCCAACTGCGGCGTCTCTCAAGACTCACAACTCATAATCATCAATTCTATTTCGGAAGAGCTTGGGAGAATACTACAAGAGGATGCTAGGGGGGTGTCTGTACCTCGTTTAGTTCCTCCGTAGTGATGCTAGCATCTTATTAGAAGAGCTAGCTGTTTAGTTTGTTGGGTTTTGTGTTTTTTCTTTCTGTTTCTTTTCTTTTGCTTGTTCTGTTTTTTCTCTTTTCACTTTGGAATTGTATTCCTCTTATGGATAAAAAAAAAAAACCTATTATATCATGTTACTTGACACGTGTTAAGCCACGTTTAGTCCAAAAAAAATAAAAAATAAAAAACTCCTGATGCCTTGATGTATTTCGTAAATTATTACTCATGTAATTTGATAATTTATTTTACGTGTTAAACGTATAATACCGGCCAATTGACCATATTGGTATATAAGTTAACACCCTTATGACATATTGGTATATAAATTATTTCCGGCGACATATTGGTATAAAAATTAACATGTGGCGACATATTGGTGTATAAATTAACAAATTATGACATTTACCCCTATTTTTTCTTCGGATGAAAGAGCGTGTTGTATACTTCAAAATTTTGTTTTAATTACTTTTGCAATCTTATTTATTATCATAATATACTTATTTAGCACCAAATAATAATTTTTCCCTCTTCCCTTCCAATACAATAACTTTGATAAATCAATCAAACGATAAAACCCCAAAGAACTAATAAACAATAAACAAAATCTCAATATTAGGGTTCGTTTGGCATCGCTGTGATTTTCTGTTTTTTGGTTTTTTGTTTTTTTTTAAAGTATATTATATATGTCACATAATGAATCAAAAAATATTAAGACTTATTAAAATCATGATAATTTTGAAAACTGACAACAGAAAAGTGGAAACACCTTTTTTCTTGTTTCCTGTTTTTGGTTTTTAGTTTTCAAAAAAACAGGAAACTGAAAACCAAAAATGATGTCAAACAAGCCCTTAGTTATTTAATTTCAAAACCAATTACTAGTAGACGTTAACTGTCATTATTACTTCATTTATATTATACCCACAACTTTGTAAATCAACAATATAATAAGAAAATATATATATATGAGTGGTTTTTTTTTAAAAAATGAAGAATCTACCCTTGTGATGTTTCAATGACCAACGCCCTCAATACATTCAAGCTTATATCCCTTTGCTCAAGCTTTCCTATTCATTTTCCCCTAGCTTCTTTCTCATCACTTTTGGGCTTTCAACTTTTTTTTTTTTTTTTTGGATTTTTACTTTCATAATTTTTTTAAATTAATATAAAAAGTAGAGAAAAGTACAAAAAAAACAAAATGTCAAATAAAAGTTATTAGCACTAAAATTAAGCGCGTGTATCATATGCATATCCTCCGCAAAGGCTACACATACACTGAGTGTATGTGGGCCAGGCATACACCAGTGATGTGTCATCTTTCCATTGGTTGTTCATTTGAGTCCAAAAAAAAACCAAAATTTGAATTTTCATTTGAAATTTTATATTCAAATTTCAAATAAACTTGGACCCCACTCTCTTCAA